TCATCCTCGCGGCCGACGCCGGAACCCGGCGCGGGCGGGGGTTGACTCCCTACCCAGGAGGCCGCACGGCGGCCGGGAAAGGCTGCGGTCTGCGCCCTGATCCGGAAACACTAGGTGCAGGTGCCACCCCGGGCCGTCCGGGCGCGTCGGCTCCTTTCTCGCAGAGGCGGGAGTTAGCCGGTCCCGCCCTGCAGCCCGGCTTCTTAGGGGCCCGGCTGTTCCCGAGGGGTGTGCGGGCAGCCCGCGGGCGGCGTGACCAGGCGGGACGGGCCCTCCCCCGGGGCGCACGCTGGGGTCTGCGGCGGCGTTTCTGCCGTGGGGCGGCGCCCCAGGAGCCGGGTGGAGCCTCGGAGGCCGCGGAGGTGTCTGAGGGTCGGCGCTGAGGACAGGTTAGCCTGGCGGAGCGTGCGGCGGAGCTCGCCTCTGCCGTCGGGAGAACCCTGCAGACGCCTCTAGGGGCAGCACCGAGCTCCACCGGGTGACTGCCCCGCCCTTAACTTCCTCTTCCGTTCTCGAATGTACTTCCTCCACTTTCCTCCGGGCGGAAACCTCCACTTGGCTGGCCGTGGATGCACGTTCCGGATTGCTATCTTTCCTCCCTCCCGGATAAATTATTTTTGCTAAATGAACACTTGGCCGACTTTTTATGTCCGGCATATTTGGGGCTCATCCAGGATCTCGAAAAGACTCCCCCATAGCTCCTGGGCTGGTGAGCAAACAGGTGTGGCGCTCACACGGGCCATCCAAGCTCCGTTTTTCTCCACGGCTCGGGAGCTAAGGGGTAAGCTCCCCTGGAACCGAGCTTCTGCTTTAGTATTCTCAAGTTTCCTGGGCTTTATTCAGGATCTACTTAGAGGGCTCTTTTTTCTGTTTGCCTGAGTTAATACGTGGCAGCTGGTGTGGTCATTACTAGTTCTTAGTGAATCCAGGTTTTGGGGTACAAATGTTACCACCAGATCACCAGAGTTCTTCCCTTCAGAATAGAGTCAGAGACAAAACAAAATAATTGCGATTACAGGGAAGAGGAGTAGCTGGAAACATTGAATTCAATTTTTCTACAAAGCCCATGCCACCATGAGGAATGCACACCAGGAGGAAAGGCATGGGTTCCTGAAGGAATTGGGAGGGGCGCCAGGCTGGGATCCCCCAGAACCTGTTGTAAGGGGCTTGGACTTCACCCTACAAACAGTGGAAGCACTTGAGGTATTGATACAGTTATGAACTACTGATTCTACTGATCCTCCACTTCCTGGTTGGTTATATCAGGTGCTCTCTGGGTGTTGACTGCCAGCCTCTGGTGGTATTGAAATCACCTGACAGCCTGCTGCTGTCACATCTGTAGCAGAGGAGCAGATGCAATACTAGTTGTGTTGCTACAGTTACCCCAAACTTTCACCAGGACTAATAGTGGGAAAGGAGGAATTTCATGTCTAAAATCCCCAGCAAACAGCTTATCATTGGCTCTGCCTGGGCTGCTTGTCCATCCCCTGAACAGTGACTGGCCAGAGGAGAGGGAAAAGCTCATGGCTCTAGCCAGTCAGGGCCAGGCCCTGAAAGGGAAAGGGGTCCAGTGGTTGGAGGGGGAACAAGTGCTGGGAGCCCACAGCTGTCTGTCACATCCCCACCATCCTTTATAGAGGTAAAAGGCAGCTCCTCCACAGCAGTGCAGTGTGCTCACACCACACACCAAAGGGCTCGCTGTATCTTCCACCCTGTTGACCAAACAATGGCCATTTCCTGGTGAGTGAGTGCACTGAGCACCTTGTGCACACAGCCAGGCAATGTACTAGATGCAACAAAAAAAGAGCAAACAAGACTCATCCCCAACTTCCAAATGCTTCTGGTCTAGTGTCCATCATTACACACAGTGACAAGGGCCAGGAGGGGTGTTGACTGGAGCCAGAAGAGACGTTGGCCTACAATGAAGATGGAGAAAAGGGGAAAGATAACCAGGCAGTAGGTGGCCAGGACTTGATTGGCTCTGGATGGGGGTTGGAGGTGGGTGTCGAGTCTTAGGAAAAAACCCAGAAGCACCTCCAGGGGACTGCTAGCAAAGGATGGAGGATGGTGTCACCACAGGACCCACCATGGGAGCATTAAGAGTAGGGTAAGACAGGTGTGCGTTGCCAGATAAATGCAGGAGTCGCCAGCAAGCCGTGAATGCTACTGTGGGCCTGCAGAGCTTCCCTGGGGCAGAGACCTGGAGAAGAGTGAGGGAAGAGGGAAGGGAGTACATGGTCCTTGGGGGTTGAGGGCTGACAGTATCCATTGGATTTGGTTCCAGAAGATGGCTTTGGTGAGAGCCATTAGGGCCTACTGCAGACTCAGTAACAAGCTAGAGGTGGAAACCAGAGTGGGGCCAAGAGAGGAAGGAGAGCACACTCCAGAGGTGGGTCTCACAATACAGATGAGAGAGGCTGAGAGTAGAACTAGCTCCCAAGAAGGCAAAGAGGAAGCCCTGGCCCTGAGCAGGAGGGAGCACATCCTACACCTCCTCTGGGTGGTAGTGGCCGAGAAGGGGTGGGGGAGGGGGAGCCAGACTGCAGGGCTGCTGTGAGGCCCTCAGTGGAGCGAGCATGCTGGGATCCTATTCCTGGGCTTCACTCTGGGTTCAATAAAGTCAAGTGTTTGGGGGAGGGATCACCCCAGATGATCCTATGGTTGCCCTGCCTGTGGAGGCTAAGGTGAGTTAGACCAGAAGAGCCACCCTGCCTGCTGTCCTTCCTGGGATGGGGAGTGAGGGAGACAGTAGGGAAACAGGCTGGCATCCAGAATGGCTGAAAAGCAGAGCCACAGGGTTCCTGCTGGAAAGGCTGGAAGGACAGAGGGCGAAGTCAAGCATAGGTAGGTCCAGAGGTGACCTTGTGTGCTAGCTGGGCACCCACAGCACCGAGGGGAGCCAGGGTTCAGAGTTCTGGTGCAAAAACTCCACTTGCAGAAGGGGGTCCCAGGTTCCGAGACGAAGGTACCTGTGCTTGACTGACCCCTAACCCTGGCAGCCTTTCCTCCCACACTGCCATAGACAATGAGCACCAGAGGCAGAACACACAAAGGTGTGTTTGCTTGATGCCAGAGGACACAACTCAAAACGCTGACCACCACAAAAGCTTTATTTACACAACCTATATGAGATGTTTCCAGTCTGTCCCAAGGACAGACAGGCCTTTCTCTCATTCCCATTACTGAAATGTAAATTAACACAATTACAAGTCAAGCTTACCACATTTTTGGCAAACGATTCTTAGCCGCTGTTTTAATTATGATCGGGGGAAAATGCCTCCTCCTAAGACACTGGGCTGCAGAGGGCAGGTGGTGTGTCTTCCTTAGGGGTACTGTGCCACTCTGGAAAATATGCCTTCAGGCTCCTTCCCATCCCCCAAGGCAGCAGCAAATCCTTCCTGTCGCCTCCTTTTGGCCAAAGCAGCCAAGGATTTAAAAGTCTTTGGTTCATAGATGGCCAGATCAGCCAGTACTTTCCTGTTGAGCTCCACCTGGCACTGTGAAGAGAATTAGAGCTTGTTTCAGCATCAGAAATGCATTTTCCAAAGCAGAAGAGAATGCCACTGAGCTCCTGTCACGGCATAAGCTGGAACACCTCAGAGCACATCCTGCACCACTCCAGGGCAGGCTCTGCCTTCACAGGACACACACTCTGTTGGGGAGGTGAGTGGAGGGCAAAGGGGAAAAGGGAGTGGTGAATCCCATCCAAGCAAGATGCTGGAGGACAACAGTGGACAAGGAAGGGAGGTCTTCCCTGCTGGAGGTGGCTGGAGGTGACTGGAGAGAAGGTTGGCACCCAGTCCTGATGCCAGAAAACCAAAGACCCTGTTTGGGGTAAACGGTCATCACCCAGACAGAACTATTTCTTTGGGCCTGGGATAAGCCTTGAAGTCAGTCAGAAGAGGAAATAACAATTCCCCTTTTACAAGACAAGAGCGGAGAAAGCAGGAACCAAAACCAGGCAGTCCCAATTCCCATGAGACAACCAAACCAAGTCATCTGCCAAGCAAAACTGCAGGTGACTTCAGAAAACTAAGGCCCTGGCTGGTGTGGCTTGGATGGGCACTGTCCCATGCACTGAAAGGCTGCTGCTGATCCTATTCCCCATCAGAGCACATGCCTGGGTGGTGGGATTGATCCCCAATGGGGGGTGTGCAGGAGGCAGCCAGTCAGTGTCTCTCACATCCATGTTTCTCTCCCTCTCCCTTCCTCTCTCTCTAAAATCAATAAAAACATAGTATTTAAAACAGCCCAGCCTGGCCGGGCATGGCTCAGTGCTTGAGCGTCGACCTAGGATCCAGGCAACTGGGGTTCGATTCCCAGTCAGGGCACTTGCCCAGGTTGCGGGCTCGATCCTCAGTCAGGGGCATGCAGGAGGCAGCCGATCAATGACTCTCTCATCATTGATGTTTCTATCTCTCCTTTCCTCTCTCTGAAATATATACTAAAAACATATATATATGTATATATTTGTGTGTGTGTGTGTGTATATATATATATATATGTATATATATGTGTGTGTATATATATATATATATATATTAAACAAAAAACTGAGAAGCAGAAGTGAGGTGGGATGGTTCCATGCATTACATGCAGGAGGGGAACCTGCTCTACCACCTGAGACCTGTGTTCCCTGGGCAAAGTCCTTCTCCTTTCTGAGCCCAGTTCCCCAGCAGCAACCCAGGGATCTTTGTAAAGTACCAAAGACAGAAACTAGTACAAGGTAGAAGCACAATACCCACCCCCTCAGGAAATAGCAAAATCACCAGATAAAACAATTAGCAAGATTTCCTGACATGCTGACGCTACTGCCTCCAAGACATTTTCCCTCCTTTCTGATGGTGTGAGTTTCGACTCCTATCTGCCACCTCATCAGAACTCATTCAGGGTAAAAACTGTGAAATTAAACTTTAAAGTTAAAGCCAAGTTTTTCTGCCTTTTCCCCTTGATGGGGGAAACACCAGTGTTTGTGTCTTGCTCATTTCCAATTCTACCACCAGGGTAAGGGCAGGCTAGTGTGGGGAGTCCCCGCATCTACCAGAACACCCACAGAACAAAAGCAGTGTTCAGGTGCCAACACTGCGCAGCTGTGCTGCGGGGCCATGCCAGCTGGGCCGGTCTCCATAGACAGTCAACATCTTGACAGGACCACATCCTCAACCGTACCTTAATTAAGTTGGCGATGAATGCTGGGTACTTCAAGCCGTGTTCCTGGGAGGCAGCTGTAATTCGATTAATCCAGAGCTGAAATAAAAAAATACTGAGATGCTTAAGAACTAGTTGTATGTTATATCCACACCTCCCAACAGAGGTTCTGAATAAGCTAGGATTTTTGGTAAAAGTAAATAATGTTTTCTATTCAGGCAAACAGGCTTGTAATACAAACAGCAGCAAGCAAACGTTGGTGCTCTTCATCTAAATGCCAGCTTCTTTCTCAATAAGAAAAGTGGCCTGCAGTGAGGTTGAATTAAAACTCCACTTTTAGCCCTAACCAGTTTGGCTCAGTGGTGAGAGCATCAGCCCCCAGACTGAAGGGTCCTGGGTTTGATTCCAGCCAAGGGCATGTACCTCGGCTGCAGGCTTGATCCCAGACCCCAGCTGGAGCCATAGCAGGAGGCAACCAATCGATGTGTCTCTCTCTCATCTGTTTCCCTCCCTCTCTTTCCCTTCCACTCTCTCTGAAAAAGCAGTGGAAAAAACATCCTCGAGTGAGGGTTAAAAAACAACACAAAAAACCTACTTTCAGGCACCGAGAACACAGATGAGCGACAGACTGTAGCAGACAGGGCTCAGAGTGTGGAAAGGATCCATGTGGTGAATTACAGCAGTCAAGGCTGAGTGCACCCTGGGGCTGCAACACTGGCCCTGGGGCTTCGGGGAGGAGAAAAGCTTGAGGGAAGAGCAGGCTGGGGGTAGGAGAGCTGCAGGGTGTTCCAGGGCAGGGGAGTCAAGGCTAGGGGGCGAGCCAGGAAAATCTGGAAGGATGAGCCAGTGATGCAAACGCTTCTGAGTGGATCTGTTCTTTTAAACAGGGGAATCTTTTTTTTCTTTAATCCTGCCCGAGGAAATTTTCTTCCACTGCTTTTCAGAGAGAGTGGAAGGGCGAGAGAAAGACAGAAACATCGATGTGAGAGAGACACAGTGACTGGTTGCCTCCCGCATGCGCCCCGACTGTGGTGGAGGACCGAGCCTGCCACCGAGGTCCCTGCCCTTGACCAGAACTGAACCAGAGACCCTTCAGCCCTCAGGCGGGCGCCCTAACCACGGAGTCAAGCCGGCCAGGGCAAGGGACACTCTCTTAAGTCGTTCTTTACTCGATGTTAAACACCTCGCTGGCCGGCTATTTCGAGCCAGCTACTTCTGCATCCTGACGGTTCAGCAAAGTGCAGATGCGAGTCCACTTTCTTCCCCTGCTTCAGTGGTTCTCGTTTAGATCGTGCATCAGAATTACCCATGGGTTTGTTAAAGCAGCTCGCTGAGCCCACCTCCAGTGTTTCTGCTTCAGGGGGTGCAGGTGGAGCCTGAGAACCTACACTTCCAACAAGCTCGCACCAGACGCTGCCGCTCTACGGGAACTCTCCCCACCCTGGGAGTCTCTGCTGCTGTGGCAGCAAATGCGCGCGCGCCAGCTCTTCACAGCGCATTTGGACAGATGCCCCGCTGGGCCTCGGGGGCACCAGGGGCTGCACCACCTCCACCCCACGCCGAGAAAACCCAGAGGCGAAAACAACAGAGCTGGGAGCAGAGGCCACTCCGCGGAGACCCACAGGACGGGGACGGGAGAGCTCATCGCGCTGGGACCCTAATCTACCGCTAACGAAGCGCATCTGATTTTAAAGAGTCGGAATTACGCAACCCCCCCCCAGCCTTATACACCCGGCCCTACTTACATAGTGTTACTGATCTGGACCCGGGGTCTCAGAAAGACCCCTCGTGAAACCTACATTCTAGTGGGGGCGGGGACGAGCAATAAACCACCAACCAAATAAAACACGGTGCACGGATGCGGAGTTCACGCGGGTGCTGAGCGGCGCTGACCTGAGACCGGGGCGCCTCGCGGAAACCCAAGTGCAAGCGCTCGGGAGGCCGCAGGTGCGCGGGGGTGGGGGTGGGGG